GCACTACATTCATAGTTCAGACTAGAACGCCAGAAATCAAAAAAAAAATTAGTGATTTTAAAGGTTTTTTGAAACAAACATATAAGTCATCATAAGAAGTGTAATTAAAACAATGATCTTTAAAATAAATGATTACTTGAACTACTAAAACGCGTCTATATTTTCCTTATAAGGGATCGATCGCCTCGCAAGTATGTATGCCACCGTGCTGCAAAGCACAGTAGTAATTACAGCAGCGATACACATCAGCATAGCTGCCGTCCTTGAAAAGCAGACATTGGGAATTCTGACCACAGGTCCTCCATTGCCTAAATAACCATATGATCATGTTTCACCTTATTGTAAATTTCTTTAAATAGTATGTGCTAGAAAAGCGAGAAAACTCACTTCCTTTCTCGTCGAAAGGCAAGACTATCACGTCTACGCTGAGATCGGTCTCCATATTCAAATCCCGTCTCTTTTTTATAGTTCTGGCTCTGCTCACATCTAGAACAACAGACTGCTACACTATTTGTAGAAAAGTCATGAGAGAACATATTTGCTTCGTAGTTTCACAACTACGTTGTTGGCTCAATACTCTAACTTGCTTTTGCTATTCCATCTGTGCCTTTCAAAAAAATTGTGTTCAATTAGCTCCTATACTTAAATTGTCCTGTGGATTATGCGCAAATTTTACCAGAGAATAAGAATGTAGGCTCATTTTTCACTTGAGAACTCTACTTCAGTGAAGGACAAAATCTTATAAACTTTGTTATAATCCAGAGGAGTTTTTGAGTAGCATTTCATGCATGCTAAAGCTTTAATCCTGGAAAGACATTTCTTAATCACAGAAGGTGTTGAGGAACATTGTGATATACGGGACAGTCAACAGATTGATGCCTACGCCGTCGCTCTGATTTTTCATTCACTTACGGTGAGTGTAGATTTACTACGCACACATATCTTTGAGATATAATAATATTTCATAACATTTACGCAAAAGGTAGCAATAGATTGACTTGTCTGCCAAAGATATAACATATACTGTTTTTCACTGCTCAAGTCCACCCTGGATGAGCACCTGTGAAAGACTAGGAGTTTTTGTGTTCATTTAGTAGCCAGCAGATACACATGCATGTAAGTTTTTATCGGGTTGGATTGTTCCTGGATTTAATACTTTGTTGATCGTAAGTTTTCGAAACAGGTTTGAATATTATCGTAGTAGTTCCAACCACCTAATTTATATACCACTTCCTACATGCTATGAAAGGATTATATTAATGTCATCATCTGCTAAGTTACTTTCAGAAAAGTTAACACATCACTCCGAAAGTCTAAGCTTAGACCGGCTTTGTATCAGGCTAAATTAAGTCCATCTTCAAGCCATG